ATAAAATGTATAAAAAAAAAAAAAAAGAGAGAAATATTAACAGAATCAAGTTTTTTGTTTATTTATTTAATAAAAAGAGCTATAAAAAACTATAAAAAGATTTTCATAAGAAAAAAGAAGCACGAAGAAATAATCAAAATAAAGTTGAATTTATTTTTAGAAGAGAACTAAAGGAATAACCCATCTCAATAACTTGATTTTAATATAGAATGAATATCCTTAAAATAAACATCCTTTTTCATATTGGATTGTTATATTTATTTATTTATTGTTCCAGTGCAGATGAAGGGATTGTATGTTATTGGAAAGAGAATAGGACTTTTGTTCATTACCCATTAGGAGATGATGGATGGGGATCACCAAATATTTGTGGAAAATATCCAACGTCCATAGAAGTTGAATGGTATGGAACAGACACGTTAGGAGGAAATTATACAATTAAAAAAGGTACAGCTAATGTTGTAGGGAATGACCATATAGAAATTGTACAAAAAGCACGGTTGTCATGGGATAATACTGAAGAGTGTGATACATTTGTCAATTTTGAAGAAGGGCATGGGCTTAATTCTATTGGATTAAATGAATTAGGAAGGAGATCACATTGGGTATTAGCAAATACACACCTACCAGATCCATTTGTTTTTACATTTGGAGTAAGAGAAATGGTTTGGTCGAATACTTTTTTAAATGTTACAAAGAGTAGTGCAGTTTATATGTACACACAAGGTTATGAATTCTTTTATTTTACCAAAAATGAGCCGGAGGCATTTGTTCTTTTTAAAGTAATTAATGATTCATGGTTAGCTATTAAAGAAAATAATAAACCATTTATACGAACTACAAGAATTAATACAACAGATAAGTCATGTGTTTATCAATTTTCAACATATCAATTACAAGAGCCAGATGTAGATAATTCTGATTTTAAAATGATTTCAATTTGTCAACGACAAGAAGTTCATAGATATGTTCAATGTTTTTGGTCAAAAGGGCAATTTACTGATTGTACATGTAAACCTGAAAAGTCAGGTCCAGTTAAAACAAGTGATAATTTAAAATATCCTGATTGTCATTATCTTTCATACTTATTTGATCTTTCATTAAATATTGATAATACATACATTGAATTTGATACAGTTAATACAACTACATGGTCAGATTTTCTTATTCCACAAAGAATGGATTCATTAGTATTTAATTTAACAGCAGAAGGAAGTGAATATATTACAATTAATAACAACTTCTCATTACCAACTTTTGGATTTACAGTTTATGGAGGATTAAAAGTAAATGGTATATTAACAATTGAAACATGTGCAGAGTATTTATTTAATAAATTAGAATTTAAAGATATAATTATTGATACATTAATTGATGACAATAGCATAGTATTTGCAGCAAGTGTTAGTGAAGAGTGTACTAATAAATTACGAGAAAAAAAGGTATTGCCAGCATGTGGTAATTCTATTAAAAGATGGATTAAAACAGAAAAAGAAGAAGGATATGAGAATTGTAATTGTGATGTTAAAGATGAAGTTTCATTTGAACAGTTTGATTGTCTTCCAGTATCATTAATGAGCGATAGCAAATTGGATTTAATAATGAAAAGAAGTCAATTTGATGGAGGAGAAAATGATAGGTATTGGGAAAATATATTATTTGATGGAAATGGTAATAGAACACTTAAAGGAAAAAGTCATCATATTAAAAAATGTAAATTTAGTAGTGGAAGGTCATATATAATAGATACAAATTTATATTGTGAAGAAGTTATTATTGAGAAATCAGTTAGTATTGATGTTCAAGGAAATATTGATATTAAAAAATTAATTGTAGAAGGAAGTTATCATAATTTTAATCAACAACCAATTATTATTTTAAGTAATACATCTAAATTAACAGGTCTTAAATCAATACAATTTGAAAGTATCACAGAATGTATTGAATTAATATTAACAAATAATAATAATAATAATCAAATTAATATTAATGAAATTGAATGTACTTATGGAGATGCATCTAAATGTAATGTAATTTTAACAGAAAAATTATTTAGAATATGTCCATCAACAAATGAAAAATATGAAATAGAATGTGTTGTATATGGAAGTAATGATAAAAAATGGTTTGAATATCCACAATGTCCATGTTTAGAAGAAAATTGTACCATTTTAATTCCAACAGAAATAACACAAATTAAAAATGAAATAAAAAATACTAATTTCAATGGGAAAATAATAGTAAAAGGAGATATTACATTTATCAATTTTGATGTATTTAATAATCTTATTGTCAATAATACAGAAAATAATAATGTAATAAGTGTTACTTTCCAAGGAAATAATACAATTATTAATAATATTCAGGGAAATAATATTAAAGTTATTGTTGAAGAAAGTATTATTATTAATTCATGTACAGTTACAAAACTATCAATAAAATCTTCAAATACTATTAAATTAAATTATGAAGATGTTAGTATTGATACAATTTATGATACAGAATTAAGTAATATTATTCTTACTTCTAAAGTAAAAACACTTTCTGTTAATTCAGTTCAAACTGATGAATATTTATTAAACAAACCATTAATTGAATTAGAAAGTTCAGAAGATGAATTAGAAGTAAAATCTGGAACACAGTGTAATTATTCTAAAGTTTTTATTATTATTAAGAGAAGAAGAATTAAAGGTTCAATAGCACTTTCATGTGATAACCAAATAGTACTAATTTATGGAACTTTAACAATAAATAATAATGAAGAAAAAGAAGATGAAAAAAG